GGACGTTTGGAATTGCTCCGTCTTGTCACCATGTAACACATGTGAGTAAATCGTTGTCAGTAAATAAGGCTATTGTTACGATTAGAAATTGTGCATTAACCAGATTATATTTATTTTGTTTCATTTGTTTTTAGCGTAACATTAACGTTAGTTCATGGCCGAATCTAAACGGCCAGCAGCGAATATTTACCAATGTTTACTGTCGTTTACTTTGCACATCTTAGAAATGTTGCCAAAGTTCCTATGGATTTAGTTTCTTCATGTCATTCCAGAAAGACTGGATGATGAGCAGGTCAGATCTCTGTGGCTGCTGTCATACTGACTGTGCAGACGATTTTCTCCCTTTATACGTTAATTACAGCAAAGTTTATGACAAAATTAATGTTTGGAAATGTAAATTGATATTTTCTGTAGCATGCCAGTTTGATATATCAATACCCCCCCACCCAATTACTAGTAACGTTAGCCTTGAACTTTAGCACAGTAGCCTACTATTTAAGCCTTTTCCCTCTGCGCTTTAATTATTATCACTATAAATGATCACAATCTCCCATATGATCTGATGATAGTACCTTTGTTTGATAGTAATGTATAGTGTGTGTATGGTATCTGTAAATGTTTAGTGTGTGAAATTGTTGGACAACCACTACACACACATTAAACAGGAAAATAAACATGTCTATAGCTTACTAAAAGCCTTTCTGTCTGTTCATATATTTTATATAAATGCAGAGCAGCAAGACCCATGGGATTTCATCAGCCACTCACCATCAGAGTCCTCAGTGGAAGCTGAGAAGAGCAGAAGAGGAAGCCAAGCAAGAGATGCCAGAAAAAAAGGGGGAAGGAAATAATGTGTTATTTTACTGTTTGAGTATAGGCAGGCGCAGTGGGTAGCACAATCGCCTCACAGCAAGAAGGTCGCTGGTTCGAGCCTCGGCTGGGTCAGTTGGCATTTCTGTGTGGAGTTTGCATGTTCTCCCCATGTTAGCGTGGGTTTCCTCCGGGTGCTCCCACAAGTCCAAAAATATGTGGTGACATTGGGTAAGGTAAAATTGTCCGTAGTGTATGTGTGTGAATGAGTGTGTATGGATGTTTCCCAGTGATGGGTTGCAGCTGGGTGGCAACACGGTGGCACAGTAGGTAGTGCTGTTTCCTCACATCAAGATGGTTTCTGCATGGAGTTCTCCCTGCGTTCGCGTGGGTTTCCTCCGGGTGCTCCGGTTTCCCTCACAGTCCAAAGACATGCGGTACAGGTGAATTGGGTAGGCTAAATTGTCCGTAGTGAATGTGTGTGAGTGGGTGTGTATGGATGTTTCCCAGAGATGGGTTGCAGCTGGAAGGGCATCCACTGCGTAAAACATATGCTGGATAAGATGGTGGTTTATTCCACTGTGGCGACCCCAGATTAACAAAAGGACAAAGCCGAAGAGAAAATGAATGAGTATAGGCAATGATAGACAAGACAATGTTTGATTAATATGAAGTCTTTTAAAATGCTTATTTATTAAAATAAAGGTTACAAAGTAAAGAAGAAATATATTGTGTGTTTGTATATTTATTTCACTGCCTTCAAGATTTTACATTGTAAACTAAAGGGAACAAGGGGGGAACAAATGTTGTATTTACCCTTTAACTACAGGTAACAAGAGAGGAACAAAGCTTCACTTTAATTTACAACCCTCAAATGTGGTATTTACCCTGTAAGTACAGGTAACAAGGAGGTAACAAGAGAGGAACAAAGCTTCACTTTAATTTACAACCCTCAAATGTGGTATTTACCCTGTAAGTACAGGTAACAAGGAGGTAACAAGAGAGGAACAAAGCTTCACTTTAATTTACAACCCTCAAATGTGGTATTTACCCTGTAAGTACAGGTAACAAGGAGGTAACAAGAGAGGAACAAAGCTTCACTTTAATTTACAACCCTCAAATGTGGTATTTACCCTGTAAGTACAGGTAACAAGGAGGTAACAAGAGAGGAACAAAGCTTCACTTTAATTTACAACCCTCAAATGTGGTATTTACCCTGTAAGTACAGGTAACAAGGAGGTAACAAGAGAGGAACAAAGCTTCACTTTAATTTACAACCCTCAAATGTGGTATTTACCCTGTAAGTACAGGTAACAAGGAGGTAACAAGAGAGGAACAAAGCTTCACTTTAATTTACAACCCTCAAATGTGGTATTTACCCTGTAAGTACAGGTAACAAGGAGGTAACAAGAGAGGAACAAAGCTTCACTTTAATTTACAACCCTCAAATGTGGTATTTACCCTGTAAGTACAGGTAACAAGGGAGGAACAAAGCTTCACTTTAATTTACAACCCTCAAATGTGGTATTTACCCTGTAAGTACAGGGAACAAGGAGGGAACAAATACTGTATTTACCCTTTAACTACAGGGAACAAAGAGGGAAGAAGCTGAACTTTAACATACTAGTGTATACTTGAACACTAAGAACAGAGTAAACTACTGCAGCAGTTTTTATTGATTGAAGACCAAATTACTAGATTTTTCTATAAAGCATCAGCTATACATTTACTGAAATGCAACAGTTAGCCCCCCTGTGCAACAGCAGTAAAGATGCGAGCCTGTTTTAATCTGCATTGAACCCTGACGGTAGGCCTATGTCATGCAAAGTTATTTGTTGATAGTGAGTTATGGAGACATTGATGGCTTTGGTGAGATCGACGAGTAAACATAAGGTAAGTAGTGTATGGAAATATATTTTATATTGAATTGCAGATTTAAAATACATACAGTATACAATAAGGGTTCATAATTTCACAGGTTGTAAACCTTTTATTCATTAAACACCCCATATAAAACCCAAGCACTGAATAAGAGTACTAATGTACTCACGCAGGTGCATATACAGTACATTTGCAGATAGCAATAGGTTGTCACCATCCTTGCATAATTCTTTATATGTATACAATACTTGAAGAAATGTACATCGTAAACTTAATATACTTCTTTGCGTGATGGATATCTTATTGTTACTCCCCTTTTACGCAAACATTATGGTTTGTTCTTTTGCAATTTAAAGAAAAGTGCACCGTTATTTCACTGTACTTAAGCGGTACCTTTCATGCTGAATATCTGGTTGTTACCCCCTTATTACCCGAGCATTACAGTTTGTTCCCTTATACTTACGTAAACGTTATTTATACTTGCACTATAGGTACAGAAAAGTACACCGTTATTTCACTGTACTTACGCGGTAATTTTCGTGATGAACATCTGGTTGTTACCCCCTTTTTACCCAAGCATTACGGTTTGTTCCCTCATACCTACACATACGTTCATTATACTTACACAGTACGTACAGAAAAGTACACTGTAATTTCACTGTACTTACGCGGTACTTTGCGGGTTGTAAAAGAAAGCGTTACCCAAAGCTCATCGAGACCTTAAATATTAGTTAATTCAGTAAATATCTTCATATAATCACTCATTTCTATTTTAATCAACTCTTACCGCTCAGTGTCTTCAGTCCTCTTGTCTGTGTTTGTGCCTCAGTTCTGTTTAAGAGAGTTCAGATGTTTCCAGATTTCCTCATGTTTATTCACTGCTGAGAGAACATTACAGCACATTACAGGACAATCATAACTAACATAAACAGCTCTACTAGTGATTTAAAAATATATATTTTGATCTATTTATATAATGCTAAATCATTTCAGCAGTCTCTAAAACTTCTAAGTCTATTTTCTTCCTCTTCCTCCTTCTGTGTTGGTTTAGGAAGATAATGTGTGCAATTAAAAAATAAAAAAATAAATACAGTTTGCACATAATATCAGTATTGGCCTGACACACACACACACACACACACACACACACACACACACACATGCTGTCTGAGAATATAACACACTGCTGCTGTAAACACACACATGAACCCCTCGCCCCAACATAGCAGGAGAACATGAAGACAAAACAGACCAATGAGAACTTGATTCTGTCTGAACTAACAACTGCATTAGCAAACATGCATATATCTGCTCACGAGACGACTGAGACTAGATGAATAAACCATGAGTAAACCCGTCAAAACAAGCACTATTGCCGAGATGTGTTGTTGTTGTTGTTGTTGTTGTTGTTGTTTTGCACCGTGACTCATGTCCACTATCTATGTGTACCTGGTCTACCTTCAGGGTGTCACCAGAATCATCTGTGCCGCAGTAAAAGCTTTAAGACACAATTTACTTCATCAGCAAATGTATTTATTAAGAGTGGTGATCCCAGAATAAAGACGTTATTCTCAATGTACAACTGAACACGTGTGAAAGCATTGCAGATTAATGAAATCAAACTGACACATGTGCACAGAAAACTAGTCTAAATAATCTGAGGATGATCTGATGTGCACTGAGCAGGCCTCCTGATATATCTGCATGAAACAGAAAGGAGAGATGAGGAGTCAGGCAGGTCAGACTTAATAAACTTCATTCTCAGACATCAGAGTCTCGGACAACAGATAACTCTATAAACACGTTTGTGTTCTCCAGAATTACCATATGAAATTAATCCCTATACTTACAGTGTCATACTTAACACTAGTGTACTAGACTATGTGTGCCCGGGCTGCCTCCCTGAATGTGTGTAAAAATGTGTCACTAGTTGTTCAGTTTGGATCCACACAAGCAGATGTGTTATTACTGTAAATGTGTCCTTTACATTTCTGAACAAACAGCAATTAAACTACAGAGTGTATAATGCATTATAATGAGCCCAGCACAGCTTACAGACAGTGTTCAGATACATTTCACAACCTTACAAAAGTCACCAAATCAATAATACAGAGGCCAGAATGATTAAATGTGTGTGTAATTGTTGGCAGATGATGAGGAGTGTGCTGTAAAATGAGTGTGTGTGTGTGTGTGTGTGTGTGTGTGTGTGTGTGTGATCTGCAGTGTTGAGCTCCATGATTTGACTAGAGAGAGTGAGTTTGCATTGTGAGTGTGTGAGAGTGTTTCTAGTGCTGTGAGTTGAGCACTTGATGACTGAGAGCAGAACAAACACAATCTTCATCATCATCATCATCATCATCACAGCAGACTCAACTACAGCTATGATCAACATCTGCATCTGCATCTGGACTCTGACACTGCTCGCTCGAGGTTTGTGTAACTCACGTTCATCCCGTGTGTGTGTAATTGATCATATTCATACTGTATATGTTGCTGTAATAGTTGTGTTGTGTTTCAGAGTGTCGAGGACAGATCACTGTTACCCAGAGTCCATCAGTAACAGCTCAAGCTGGACAAGCCGTCTCTATAACCTGCAAAACCAGCACTGCAGTGTGGAATGGTAATCATTTAGCCTGGTATCAGCAGAAACCTGGAGAAGCTCCTAAACTCCTGATTTATTATGCAACAACCCGTTACTCAAACACTCCATCTAGATTCAGTGGCGGTGGATCCAGAACTGATTTTACTCTGAGCATCAGTGGAGTCCAGACTGAAGATGCTGGAGATTATTACTGTCAGAGTTTCCACTATCCGGGCAGCACTAGGCTGTTCACACAGTGATAAAGCGCCGTACAAAAACCTGCTGTTCACACTGACTGCACTGATTCAGCTGAGAGACACTGAGGAATACACACACACACAAACACACACACACACACACACACACAAACACGCACACACGCACGCACGCACGCACACACACACACACACACACACACACACACACACACACACACACACACACACACACACACACACACTTGATCTGTTATGGTGGATTAAATGCACACATTAAATACAAACATGAGACCCACCATTAGTCACATTCACACTGATTTCTACACACCTTTCATTCTCCATTTTTATTTGATTGTGTTTGTTTTCCTGAAGTAAAGTCAGTTTATTCATCTGATTATAGAGAGATACACACATTACCAATGAAATTATAGTAAACATTGTTATGTGAATAGATTTTTGATGATGGTTCTCTTAAAACATTAGAAATTTAAAATCATGACAGACTGATTATATATATTTATGAAGAGTTCAGATGCAAAAACCTCTAAGTGGCGACTGAAATTAGAAATTTTGGCGTCAGCCTCCTCTGTTCATGTTGAGAAATTTCAAATTAAAGTCCAGAGAAAGGACTTATTCTTCACCATAAAAGTGATATTACTGAACATGCACACAGGAGCCTGATAAAAACACTCATTTAGAGAACATTTTCAGACGCCCTTTAGAGGTTTTAGCATCTGAACTCTTCATATATATATATATATATATCTTAGTCTTTATTAGTTTTTAAAAAGCGAACACTAAAACATTACTCACGCATCGTTCATGAAGTGTTTTCTGAATGTCATTTGGACATTTGCTCTGATTTTCTGAATGTTTCAGCTTGTTTAGGGAACTTTTTTTTTTGCAGAAATATGAAATTAAATATTCCCTCAGTGTTTGAATGAGCTAAACATTAATAAAACACTTAAAGTACTGAAAATACTGGAAAATAAAGGACTGTAGGATCAGATTATTGACCACACTACAGCATAATATCTGTGGAATTCACAATTATTTATTGTTTATTTTTCCTGTAGTCATTCATTTGTTCATTAAGGAGTTTGTTCTGCTCTTTATGTTTCCAAATAGCAAATGTTTAATTATCGTATTAATTTTCATAATTATTTCCGAGCACATTCAGCCTCAAATGTTCATGCAAATCCATTTCATCAAGGTTTCAAATATGGAAATTAATTTATGTTTACTTTATTGATATTTACTTTATCATTTATCAAATAAATTAAGGTAAAACTTAACAATAATGGTCCTTCAGTTAATGTTACTAATGTATTTACTGACTTAAACAATTAGTAATACATTTATCAGGGTATTTATTAGTCTTTGTTAACGTCATAATTTTATTTAAGTTGAGTAACATTTGCACATGTGGTTTACATGACCTCACAGTGCATTAACTAAAGATAACAAGCACAACTTTGTATTTTAATAATGCAATATTTAACGTTGAACTATAATTAATACATGTTTTGGGGGTAATTGTTAATAACAAGCTAAAAATTTATTTACATATTTTTAAAAGGAGCTTTTAATAAAGTGCAATATTAAAAATAGAATAAGTATGTGGCTGATGGTTTAATGTGTGATAATGCTTCTTCATGCTGATATATCTTGAATATGAGCAGTTGTTATAGTCACTCAGGTGGTAGTTTCAGTGACTATGAATAAGAGTGTTCTCCTGCTGGTTAGTGAAGTGTGAAGGTGCAGATATTTGCCTGATGAGCTCCAGTGACTGCAGATGTTCAGCAGCTTCATCTCCAGCATCTCACACTCAGTTCCTGGAGGACTGCAGCTCCAACCCTGATTAAACACACCTGATCAAACTAATCAAGCTGTTCAGAACTGCAGTGTGTTCATCAGCAAACACACCGTCTTAGAGGAAAGAGTGTGTGTGTGTGTGTAGAAGACTCTAGTGCTCAAGTGTGGAGCTGCAGGATTATAGACACTGACTTACTGATGGAGATCATTCTAGAGAGCTGTTATCTTCATATTTTAGTCCACTTTAGGGATATTAGATTGTATTTGACATGTTTGTTTACTAATTGATAACAGAGGAAGAGTGTGTGAGGTTATCTTCATCAGTGTGTGTTCCTCCATCAGCAGCTGCAGTGTCTCTCAGCAGGTTTCTGCACCAGTCTTTATCACTGTGTGAACACTGGACCTCTGTGGTAACTCTGACAGTAATAATCTCCAGCATCTTCAGTCTGGACTCCACTGATGCTCAGAGTAAAATGACTATCAGATCCACCGTCACTGAATCTAGATGGAGTTCCTGACTGGAGTGTGTTTATATATTTAATCAGGAGTTTAGGAGTTTCTCCAGGTTTCTGCTGATACCAGTATAAGTAGTTGCTGTATATTCCCACATCTAGGGGTTTCTCCGGGTCTCTGGAAGTACCAGGACAGACAGGGTGGGCTGCAGCCGGTTAGAGGAGAGCTTTTTTATAAATTTATTTATTTATTTATTTATTATTTATTTATAACAGGATGATGAAGAAATTTCAGTCAGTGTCTCACCTGAGATCAGAGTCCAGATGCAGATGTTGATCATAGCTGTAGTTGAGTCTGCTGTGATGATGATGATGATGATGATGATGATGATGATGATGAAGATTGTGTTTGTTCTGCTCTCAGTCATCAAGTGTTCAACTCACAGCACTAGAAACACTCTCACACACTCACAATGCAAACCAGTGTGTGTGACAGAGTCCCGTCAGCATCAGCTCGTCTGCCCTGATTAATAACTCTACACACCTGCTGCACCAATCAACACACACCACACACACTCCAGCTGCAGCACAGCTCACACACACACACACATCCTAAAGCTGAAGACCAGTGTGTGTGTGCTTTTGAGTGTGTAAGAGTGTGCAAACTTTGGATCAAACTACTTCTTCATTTAGGAATCGCTCCCTTGTTCACTTCACTGCTGTATTAAGGGTCCACCATCAGCCCGAACACACAATCCCCCAGTATTACTGAAGGTAAATCTAACATTAACTTTACTTATTATAATTCTTCCTGCAGGTTAAATCTGAGCATTTTCCAGTGATTGTTTATTGTTTGATCACATTTATTGATCATCCATCAGTGTGGATATTTCAGTAATTCACAGTAATATATGGCCGGTTCAGATGTCTGCAGCTCTTGGGCTCGCCAGCTTGACTCTTGGTCAGAGGTGTGCAGACGACTCGACTCTGCTTTGACAGAATGTACTGGTGCTGCGTCCCAATTCACACACTTACACTACATCCTAAACCTGCTGTATGTCACGGCCAAGAGAACGGTATACTGAAATCTTTCTTAGGCCAGATCTCACTCACTCACTTTCCTTGAGTTCATTCTCTTATTCATCAGGGTTCACCGCAGCAGAATGAACCACCAATTACTCCTAATGCAATCCAGATTTAGTCACTAAAACAACCCCAGTGCTGGGAGACTCCTGTATTATTTGATGACTGTTTAAGTGGATCGTTATGATATTGTATGATTGGTGTTTGTGTGACGCGGTGGCTCAGTGGGTAGCATGTTTGCCTCACAGCAGGAAGGTCTCTGGTTCGAGTCTCAGCTGGGTCAGTTGGTGTTTCTGTGTGGAGTTTGGATGTTCTCCCCGTGTTGGCGTAGGTTTCCTCTGGGTGCTCCGGTTTCCCCCACAGTCCAAACACACGCGCTATAGGTAATTTGGGTATGCTAAAATTGACCGTAGTGTATGAGTGTGAATGATTGTGTATGGGTGTTCCCCAGTGATGGGTTGAGGCTGGAAGGGCATCCGCTGTGTAAAACATATGCTGGATGAGTTCAGAGATTCCATCTCTCTGAATGTGCATGTCTGGCTGAGATTGCACCAGTCTGAGACTGCATCATGTCTGCATCCAGACCCTTCTCGATAAGTTGGCGGTTCATTCCACTGTGGCGACCCCAGATTAATAAAGGGACTAAGCTAAAAAGAGAATGAATGAATGAATGGTGTTTGCACGTGTGTGTGTGTGTGTGTGTGTGTGTGTTTGTGTGTGTTTGTGTGTGTGTGTTCCTCAGTGTCTCTCAGCTGAATCAGTGCAGTCAGTGTGAACAGCAGGTTTCTGTACGGCGCTTTATCACGGTGTGAACACAGCTTTACTGTTGATCCAGTGGTAAATCTGACAGTAATAATCTCCAGCATCTTCAGTCTGGACTCCACTGATGCTCAGAGTAAAATCAGTCCCATGATCAGCTCCATTTCCACTGAATCTAGATGGAGTTCCAGCACGAAGGGTTCTGATGTTGTAAACTAAAGGTTTAGGAGTTTCTCCGGGTTTCTGCAGGTACCAGGCGACACAAGACTTACAGTCACCATCTGACCAACGTCCAATGGAGCTGCTGGTTTTACAGCTCAGAGTGACTGTGTGTGTGTGCTGAACATGATGCTCTGCGGGGGTCTGGATTACAGTCACCTGACCTGTGGAAGCTGAAGAACACAGAAAATGAGGAACGACTACACGACACACTCAAATGACCCTGATTCAGTTTAACTTTACACATCTAGTGATGATTTCCCACCCTGAAAATACAGCTGTGAGGTCAAGAACAAGAGAACGAGCTTCATCTCAGTAGTTCAGTAGCAGAGACGGTGTCAGAAGTGAAGTGTTGAACTCACAGCATTATAAACACTCTCAGAAGAGCTGCAGCATGGGCCAAACAGGCAAATTGACTCTATTCAAATCATTAATGACCTGTTCAGACTGAACTACAATGGCGGCGGAGAGAAACGAGCGGTTTGATAATCATCTGACAGCCCTAACCCTCACCACAGCAGGACGCCACAACACACTGAATTCAGCAGAACATGTTGTGTTGTGGTCTTTGTGTTGTGCTTGAATAAAGCCGCTTGTCATCAGAATCGGCGTCTCGAGTTGCCTGAAGGCCTGAATCTAACAGTGTGCTTTGACTGAGAGGCCCAATAGTTGCTCTTGTTGGAGTGCAGTGAGGTGAAGCTGCTGGGTTTGAACATGCTCTCTGGAGACAGAGCTGCTGTGTGTGTGTGTGTGTGTGTGTGTGTGTGTGTGTGTGTGTGTTCCTCAGTGTCTCTCAGCTGAATCAGTGCAGTCAGTGTGAACAGCAGGTTTTTGTACGGCGCTTTATCACTGTGTGAACACACAGCTAGTACTAGGACAGTGTAAACTCTGACAGTAATAATCTCCAGCATCTTCAGTCTGGACTCCACTGATGCTCAGAGTAAAATCTTTTCCAGTATTCACTGTTCCACTGCCACTGAATCTAGATGGAGTGTTTGAGTAACGGCTGTTTATATATTTAATCAGGAGTTTAGGAGTTTCTCCAGGTTTCTGCTGATACCAGGCTAAATAGTTGCTGTATATTCCCACATCTATGTGACACTCTATTGTCGCTGTTTCGTCTTGTTGGACAGTTTTAACTTCAGGTTGAGTCAAAGTGACTCCTGATGATCCTGAAGAAGAGAAAATAAAATGGTTTATTTAATATTTCAATTTAATACATCACTTTTCCATATTAAAATGCTAAAAATCAAATTCATTCATATTAAACAGAAAGACTCACCATGAATAAAGACAGCAATGGTCCAGATGCAGATGCAGATGTTGATCATCGCTGTAGTTGAGTCTGCTGTGATGATGATGATGATGATGATGAAGATTGTGTTTGTTCTGCTCTCAGTCATCAAGTGTTCAACTCACAGCACTAGAAACACTCTCACACACTCACAATGCAAACTCACTCTCTCTAGTCAAATCATGGAGCTCAACACTGCAGATCACACACACACACACACACACACACACACACACACACACACACACACACACACACACACACACACACACACACACACATTTTACAGCACACTCCTCATCATCTGCCAATAGTTACACACACATTTACAGTTTTCTTATTTGCTGAGTCGCGCTCAGTGAAACTGGGATTCACTTGGTTCGCTTTAAGACTTGTTTGCAGGCAGATTGGGACAGAATTAGTCCTGAAACACTTCATCACTTGCTGTCTTCAGTCCCTAAACGTCTTATAAGTGTTGTGAGCAGGAACGGCAGCATTACACAGTGGGAAAAGCTTTACTGATACAGCTGTTTCTCAAATGTGCTGCAGGAACCAACATTGGAATATGTGTTTATTATGCGAAATAATGACAATAAAGATCATGATGAACACATTAATAATGTTTGTTGTGTCGTCTGCAGGGAAATACAGTCAAAGTAAATGTAGAAATCACTACGTTCATTCTTTATTTGTGTTTTCCACACTGAACAACCTTTTCTGATTTGGAGTTGTACTTCACCATGCTGGAACTCAAACAGTCAGAGAAATGAAGCTCATGTTTGCTGTTCCTCTGCTGGACAGATCATTACAGGCTCACATCTGCTGTTCATTAATGTAATGAAGTGTTCAATTCTGTAGTTTGTGATGTTTTATTATGGATTAGCACGACACCAACAGCAGTTAAACTCTAACAGTACTCATATATAAGCTGTTATTATTGTACTGTAATGTGCTTTATACTGTAATGTTCTCTGGAAACATCCAAACTCTCTTAAACAGATCTGAAATGCAAACAGTGAAGGAACTGAGGACTGTGTGATAACATTTGAAGTCTTGATGAGCTTTTCTAGTGTGTGTTCCTCCATCAGCAGCTGCAGTGTCTCTCAGCTGAATCAGTGCAGTCAGTGTGAACAGCAGGTTTCTGTACGGCACTTTATCACTGTGTGAACAGCCTAGTGCTGCCCGGATAGTGGAAACTCTGACAGTAATAATCTCCAGCATCTTCAGTCTGGACTCCACTGATGCTCAGAGTAAAATCACTATAAGATCCACTGCCACTGAATCTAGATGGAGTGTTTGAATCTCTCCGATTTGCAGAATGAATCAGGAGTTTAGGAGCTTCTCCAGGTTTCTGCTGATACCAGGCCATACAGGTGTGTGTTCCTACACAGTAATCTCCCACTTCTGGGTTTGATTTGCAGGTTATCGTCACTGATTCACCAACTTGAACCATTTTTCCAGCAGGACTCTGAGTTACAGTCACCTGTCCACTCAAACCTGTTAGAAATACAGTTAGAAATGCAGAATTCACTCTACATGTGTCTTATATTTAACTGTGTTAATATTATAATAAAAGACCATTTCAATACCTTGAACACACATATAGAGCGTCCAGATGCAGATGTTGATCATAGCTGTAGTTGAGTCTGCTGTGATGATGATGATGATGATGAAGATTGTGTTTGTTCTGCTCTCAGTCATCAAGTGTTCAACTCACAGCACTAGAAACACTCTCACACACTCACAATGCAAACCAGTGGGAGGATTTACAACAGCGTCTGCTGATCACCGTCTACACTGATCAATACACCAGCACAGCTACACATCACTGCACACTCACACAGTTATTGATTATCACTGCACTGAAACAGTTTATTTGTGCTGAATTTAAACAAATAAACAACATTTAGTGATGTTCAGCTTCATGTGTGTGTTTAATTCAGCTCATATAAATAGTTTGCAACACTTGACAGATTTAGTAAATCCAGTGACTGGTTTATTTCAGTGTACTGTCAGACTGAGTGTATTTCCCTCTGGACTGGACTGTAGTGAATGTAGAAGCACACAGATGTGGTCAGCAGTGGTTTCTCCTGCTGTAGTGATGAGCCGTGTCTGTGATCTGTCAGTCTCTTTAGATTAAAGCTTCTGCTGAATGATTGACTGTAAATGTCTGATGATGGGCTCAGTTTTCCACACTCAGAGGATTGATGATGTTGTGAACATTATTATTAAAGCTGTCATGTGTTTCTGCATACAGGACAGTCTGTGAGTCTCTGCTGGAGTTTGTGTTCAGTCGACTGGAAAAGAGGTTTTTGTACGAGTGTTTCAGCACATTCAAGCACTGTGGTACACATTCGGTGGAGGAACCAAACTGCTGATCTCAAGTAAGTTTTCTTTAAGTTATTTGTCACTAAAACAGAGAGTTTATACTTTACAAATGTTTTAGAACTGAAATATAAACAGCATTACTGAGTAATAATTGTATTTATTCTGATTATTCAGTCTAAAACACTGATATTGCTGTAAAGTTTGAACTGTATTTCCATAAAGCGTCTCTGATTTTAATCTGTATATCGGTTATAATTTCTCTGAGCTTTAATTTTGCTTTATTCACTTTTACAATGATATTTATTATTTATATTTGAATGTAAAATTATTATAACTGTTTAATTTATAGATCATCTGTGCTTAAAAACATCCTAAAACACAGATTTAATATCGTAATGTAAATGTAAACACTTTCTGTAGTTTAGTCGGTTATTGAGAGTCATTTTAATCCTTTATAACACAATCTCCAAACTCTTCAATCCAGAAGATTCTCTAGACAAGGAAAGCTCCTGCTTATGATGCATTATAACTCTGTTTATGATCATTTATAATCATTCTATGACTGTATCTGTAAATCTGCAGACATGATCCTGTATTATAATGACAGATATAGCTCATCATCATCATCATCATCATCATCATCATCATCATCATCATGTTTATTCTCGTCTTATTCATATTGATGACTGAAAGCAGTCGATGATGCAGTTATGAAGGTTAATAACGTTATTATGATCCACGATCTGTGTTTATAAAGCAACAGGGCTCTTGTCAACAATAGAGAAGGCTTCATTTATTAGACAGAAGCAGATCTGTTCATCTCCTAATGAGTCTGTAACTGCAGCAGATCAACATGTGAACACGGCATCTTCATAAATCTGATCAGGACTGACTGATGAACACTTCTACATCATCTCGAGTGTGTTATGAAGACGTCTGTTCACATCACATCAGCACTAATAAGTCTGAATGAGACGAGTATGAGTGTACGTCTGACTGTGCGTCTAATACAGTAGAAGGTTTGTCGTGTCGTTCTAGATCCAGAACTGTTCTGATTGATTATAAATCATCATCAGCAGAGTTCTCCTTCATTATCAGCAGCAGCTTCAGAGAAAGTGTGAGCAAATCTACTTTAGTTTGGAGGAATAATGAGTCCAAATCAAGTCCGTTTCTGCTTCAAACACGCTCCAGAATCTGTCCAATAACCCCATTTCACAGCCTGAAGCAGATTCAGCTCCTCTCCACACTGCAGAGTATTGGACTGCTCTACACAATCTGCTGGAGGGACGAGTTTGGAGATGTTTGGACTGAAAGAAGGCAGAAAGTGTCGTGTGTGGATGTGTTGCAGCGTGCAGCTTTATTCTGGACTGCTTGATTTGTACTGTGTGTTGATTTGGAGCTCATCTTCTCCTGGATATAGAAGAGCTGCTGAAACAGAGCGGCGACATCAGAATGGAGATCAGTCACTGATGATCAATCTCTAATCCTGTGTGTGTGTGTGTGTGTGTGTGTGTGTGTGTGTGTGTGTGTGTGTGTGTGTGTGTGTGTGTCTCCCTCTGCAGCTGGTTCCCCAGTGAAGCCCTCAGTGTCTCTGCTCGGCTCCTCTTCTCTGCAGAGCTCTGGAGACTCGGCCGCTCTGCTCTGCCTGCTCAGCTCTTACTCTCCACCGGGGGCGAAGGTGAGCTGGACACGGGACGGCTCTGAGCTCAGCGAGGGGTTCCTGACCAGTGCAGAGAGCCAGCAGGACGGCCGCTACAGCTGCACCAGCGTCCTGAAGCTCAAGAGAGAAGAATGGGAGAAGCGAGAGCGCTACGCCTGCAGAGTCACTCATGCTGGAGGTGATCAGGAGATCCCGTTCCCCAAGTGCTGATCTGTGTATGTGTGTGTGTGTGTGTGTTTCAATAAAGCCTGTTGTTCTTCTGCTCCACACGTGTCTGACAGCATCCTTCACTCACTCATGCAGATCTGCTCGGTCTCCACTGGAGAATCAGCACACGTTCACACTGCTGGAGTCAATGACTCTGAGTTGTCGCAGCTTCTTCATTCGTGTGTTTTTCCTCAAAGTCTCGTTTCACTTTGCTTCACACTAGAACATTCCAGCAGTCCTGACTGTGCTCCAGAAAGAAATGGCATTGACACAGAGTCCAGATGGAGTTGAGTATTGAGCCGCTGAATATATCTGCTCCTCTAGAAAACTCTCTGCTTGACCCTGAGATCAGAGGAGAGTCTTGCTGTGGAGCGACCTGATCAAGTCCTGTCGTCTGCTGCAGCTACATTCACAAATGAGCCTCAGATTAGAGTTTGGACTCGGCTGAAGATCAAAAATGTCTTTGAATATGAATAAATGTCGCTTCTGAACACAAATACATGGACTCACAGGGGAAATGCAGTGTTTGTAGAGCAGCAGTGCCGTGCTGAATGCTGAATAACGCCTCATTAGAGTTAGTGAGGCAGTGGTTGGGTTTAGGTATTGATCAGGGATGTGGAATAAGATCATACTTTATAACTGATGAACAGTTAATATCAGTTCATATCTTCATCATAGGCAGCTGATGAGCCGCTAGTTAATATCCTGAATTGTGCCTTTAATTAAAGTGTTGCCAGAATATTGATTAAAGTGTAACTGGAGCAACATGAGCTGAGCTGTTAGTGTATCTGTACATCAGGACTTTACTTGGAGGAGCTCATCATTATTATTAATATCAGTAACTCATCATTCATAACTCATCAACTCCTGACTTAAACTCTTCATTCTGATGTAGACAGAACACTCTTATACTGTTTTCACTGTAAACACTCCAGACGGACGTGTGTGACCTGAAACACAGGAGATGACGAGTACATAAGAGTGAGTTCATAATAATAATTAATTATAATAATAAATATTAATATTTAGATTAAACTACAAAAACCAAAGTATGTTACTCAATATATTAGTTACAAACCTGAAGTAACTAATTAGGCTCATCATTATTGACATATGAACTCATGTTGTAGTTAAGGTTAGTTCATGATTAGCGCATGCTTTAACTCAACATTAGTTCATAATTTTGTAGCGTTACATATCAGTACTTCATTATTCATGTAGTGTTACTGTACAGTGTTACCAGGAGAACTGATTATAACATTTACTAAATCAACTAACATTTACAGTCTTGATGAAGTGTGTGTGTGTGTGTGTGTGTGTGTGTGTGTGTGTGTGTGTGTGTGTGTGTGTGTGTGTGTGTGTGTGTGTGTGTGTGTGTCAGTGTCTCTCAGCTGAATCAGTGCAGTCAGTGTGAACAGCAGGTTTTTGTACGGCGCTTTATCACTGTGTGAACACAGCTTTACTGTTAATGTAGTGGTAACTCAGACAGTAATAATCTCCAGCATCTTCAGTCTGGACTCCACTGATGCTCAGAGTAAAATCACTGCCATAGTCAGATCCACCACCACTGAATCTAGATGGAGTGTTTGAGTAAGGGCTGCTTATATAATAGATGAGGAGTTTAGGAGTTTCTCCAGGTTTCTGCTGATACCAGGACACACAGTCATTACAGTCAGAAATGGGCTGACTGGTTTTGCAGCTGATGGTCAGAGTTTCTCCTTGTGTGATGGATCTGACTGCTGGACTCTGAGTCACTGTCACTTGTCCCCAACTCTCTGAAATAAAGAGATTAGTGGATCTAGAAGTGTAGAAGAGAAGAAGCTGTTTATTGATCAGTGCTAATTAATAAGAGGAGAATTACCCTGAATGCAGAGAGTCAGAGTCCAGATGCAGATGCAGATGTTGATCATAGCTGTAGTTGAGTCTGCTGTGATGATGATGATGATGATGATGATGATGAAGATGATGATGATGATGATGAAGATTGTGTTTGTTCTGCTCTCAGTCATCAAGTGTTCAACTCACAGCACTAGAAACACTCTCACACACTCACAATGCAAACTCACTCTCTCTAGTCAAATCATGGAGCTCAACACTGCAGATCACACACACACACACACACACACACACACACACACACACACACACACACACACACACACACACACACACACACACACACACACACACATATTTTACAGCACATTCAGTTGGGAAGAGCATTTTACTTGCTGACATTCCATCAAATAAGAACACTTTCAATAGGCTCTAGTAAAAATAACACTCACACAAGTATACACAAACAGTGCATTTAATAAGCTTAAAACTAGCAAGTTAATTACTTATCAAATGTTTGCTTTTCTTGTTTTGTGTGAAAAGCTCTGAGAACTGGAGTTATTAAGAGAGTTAAGAGAATTCCTCTTCGTGTATAATGGTCATTGTATATTCTGTCTTACAGCATTTCAACTGAAAACAAGATTATTGTGTGAATTAAATCAGGATCACACACACACACACACACACACACACACACGCATATTGTACACAATTGTATATTTAATGATGGATTGACAGTAGTGATGATGTAAAATGATTTCTTGTTTCCTCTCAGAATACTGAAGCTTAATTCAGCAAAGCAGAAGAGAGTGTATTTTGTGTATTTTGTCACTAAAGAACCAGTGAAAGTGTGATTGAGCATTTATGAATGGACAAACAAATTAATTCATAAAAATGAGACCACTCTTAAATGATGTATCTGACTGTAAAATGTGTGGAATTCTGATCACTGATCCAGAATCAGCGGTTCAGACGGTGTTTTAGAGAGACACGGTCATGTTCAAACACTCACTCCTGATTCTCTTGATGGATTGACAGTGCTTCTAGCTGCTTTGAGTTTTCCTCAGTACTTTCAGCTCATACAGGCCCAGTTCATGAGCAGGGAATAAATGCTGGACCTTCTATGATATCTTGATATTTAGTAAATCAGCCTGATTCTCTAAGAGCTCTGACTCTTTCAGCTGTTGGAGGTTTGAGGAGTAAATATTCAGACACAGACAACATTCAGGTCTTCTAGAGCTTTAGTTTGGCTGAGTAGCTCAAGCTGAAGCTGACAGAGAACGTTCCTTGAAGGTTGTGTCAGTGTTAGCACATAACCTCATCACTGACTGTACAATCATCTGCCAGCACTTTCAGAATCTTGATGTCATAAGACCAAACTCCAAACAGACTTTACTCGTAACGCAGGCTATAAACAGTGCATGTTTCATTCATTTCCTTGCGTTTGGAGCATCATTGGCTCATAAACCTTTATCAGATAAACACTGCAGGAATATTACTGTAGTTGACCAGCACACACAATACACTCACTTTCATTAAACAGTCATCAATTATCATTCAATATTGCTGTTTAATGTATATGATAAAGGTTCGATTAGGCCCACACGGAATCTGGCGCTCGCAGAATTCTGCAGATTTTTAGCTCATCGTTAATTCTGTTTATTGACTTGAGTAAATGTGTAAATCTGAATTTATTCAGTTTTTATTCAGTAATTTATCACTTTTTATTCCATATATTAGGGTTTTAGTTATGATACTCCGCTGGATACTCCCAAAATAATTCAGCAGAGATCCGCAGATTTTTACCAAAATTCTCTGCAGAAGTGAAGTTTAGTTTTAAACTAATTTGGAGAGGAGCATGTGCTCATGATTGACCCAGCTGGTCCACATTAACTAATTATGATCCTCCAATCAAAGGATCCCGAATCACTATATATATCCTCATTTCCTTTCTACAACTATCTTCGTCTGGAAGAAACCCCCCTCCTCCCCTTCTTCCTCCTTTATCCAGAATGAGCGGCACGGTGGCCCAGTGACTAGCACTGTTGCCTCACAGCAAGAATACCAATGGTGTTGGGTCCTCGCTGAGCCATCTGTTATTTCTGTGTGGAGTTTGCATGTTCTCCCCGA